GCCCCTCATCCATGCCCCTCTTGCCACAGGACCACCTAGCTCTTCTTCACCTCTCCCAGCAGGCTCGGCTCTCTTCTGGCCCATTTATCCTGCTTTAGCAGCCCACATATGCCCTGTCCTTAGCATCTTTGGTGATTTTTTTAGGAAAAGCGGTTCAGCCCTGTCCCAAGTCCAGACTTGTCCCCTACTGCCTGCTCAGCAAAGCATCCACCCACATATGGCAGCGTTCCTCACCAGGGTCTGGGGGGCCTGCTCTTCCTGGCAATCCTTTCCAGGTTCTTCTGGTTGTGAACAAAGAATTGGACAAGAAATGCATGAGAGGCTGAACGGTTTTACACTTACTAAAGGTTCTGAAGGGAGGAAACGAAGCATGCTCTGCAGAGTAATGGCAGCAGTCTTTTGCTCCTCCACTCACTTCCAGCTGATGTCCTCTCTGTTTTAATCCTAAGGGACCACCACCCCTGACTGCAGTATTTTTTTGAATTCACTTATTTTTATTAGTATATCCCTGCAGTACACAATGTGCACAGTCTGTGTGAAGATGGTGCACAGACTTAACCTCCCTAATTCCTTTTAATCCCCTCTGCCCCTCCCTCCATCTCTTGATCCCTCCCTGTTTCAGAAAGATCTAACTCCTTTTGAGATACTTTTTTTTGGGGGGGGGCAGAACAGGGGATTGAACTCAGGTCCTTGTGCTTGCCAGGGAAGCGCTTATTCCACTGAGCCATCTCCCCAGCCCCATAAGAAAAATCTAACTCCTGCTGCCTATTAAAGGTCTCTTTATTTACATTTGGGGAGCTGGGGATATAGCTCAGTGGTATAAGCACCTGCCTGGCAAGCGCAAGGTCCTGAGTTCAATTCCTAGAATCATAAAAAAAAAAAAAAAGGAGAACTATTTATTTATATTTAGGGTTTCTCATTCAAGAGAAACCATGCAATATTGAGGCTTGTGTATCTGATTTGTTCACACAACATTGCAGTCTCAAGGTGTGTTCACTTCCCTGCAGATGACTCAAGTGTCCATCCTTGAGTGTCCATGACTCCTTTATGGTAGTGTAGTACTCCATGGTGTACACAACTTTTTTTTTTTTAGACAGAGTTTCACTGAACAGTTTAGGGTGGCCTTGAGCTCACTTTGTAGCCCAGGGTGGTCTTGAACTTGCAATGATCCTCCTCCCTCAGCCTCCCGGGTGCTGTGATTATGGATTATCGGTGTGTACCACCACACCCAGCCACATTTCCTTTATCTATCTGTCTGTGGATGGACACATAAGCTGCTTCCAATAGCCAGCACCGTGGATTGCTCTGCAGACTGTGAGAGGACGTGGAGAGACCTTGTCTCTGAGTCCCACCTTAAAATAAGACATACGCATAAGCTTACTCCATGGAGACTGTGGTAGCTACTAAATGGCGAAGTGGCCACAAGCTGACCACAGTGGGCTTTGGCTCCTGTCTGGCAAGACAGGTAGACAGTCAGTCTATGGAATGACTTTTTTTGACTAGGGCATTAAAGAGGCTTATTAAATCATGTTTTAAAATTTAAAAATTTTAAGCCAGGTGTGAGGCACACCTGTAATCCCAGCACTCAGAAGGCTGAGGCAAGAGGATTGTTGCAAATTTGAGATCAGCCTGGGCTATAAAGTGAGCTTAAGGCCAGCTTGAACTGCACAGTGAGACCTTGTCTCAAAAAGACCAAAAACAATTACTTAATTAATTTAAAAGATTGAGACAAGATCTTACTACTTAGTTCAGACTGGCCTTGAACCTGCTATGTAGCCCAGGATGACACTGAACTTGTGGTCCTCCTGCTTCTGACTCGCAAGGGCTGAGATTACAGGTGTGCACCACCATACCTGGTGTGATAATTAATTCTTTTTTTTTTTTTTTGGTCTTTTGTTGAGACAGCATCTCACTATGCAGTTCAAGATGGCCTTGAACTCACTTTGTAGTTGAGGCTGGTCTTGAACTTGCAATGATCCTCCTACTTCAGCCTTCTTTTTTTTTTTTTTTTTTTGGTAGAACTGGGGATTGAACTCAGGCCCTTGCGCTAGCCAGGCAAGCTCTTATTCTACTGAGCTATCTCCCCGGCCCCCTACTTCAGCCTTCTGAGTAGTGGGATTACAGGCATGAGCCACCACACCTAGCTAATTTCTTCTTTTTAAAAAAAAAACAACATTTTTTTTGGCACACACCTGTAATCCTAGCATTCCGGGAGGCTGAGGCAATTTGGGTAACTTAATGACTTAGTGAGACTCTCAAAAAGGGGGTGGGGATATAGCTCAGTGCAAAGTCCCTGGGTTCAATCCCCAGTACCACCAAAACAAGACAAAGCAAAACAAAACTTGCTTTCTTCTCTGAGTATACAAGTTTAAAAGGACCATTAATCAGTTTTGGAAAATACAGAAAAGTGAATCAAAACTAATTAAAATCATCCATAATTTCACCCCTCAAGGAATATTTTCTTTGGCCAGGGAGATGGCTCAGTGGAATAAGTGCTTCCCTGGCAAGCGCAAGGGTTTGAGTTCAATCCCCGGTTGTGCAAAAAAAAAAAAAAAAGAATATTTTCTTTGAAAGCAGAGGGGTGCTGTGGCTCTGGGCCCAGCCCATGCTGTGTTTAGACCATGCTGGTGCAGAGGGACTGCAATCCCATGACTTCAGTGTTCTGGTGCTGTGTGACAGACAGAGGGACGGTGACTGCCGCACCTTGATGGCGCAGAACAGGAAGCCTGGGGCAAACCACGCTTGTGTCAGTGAGGCATGGAAATTGGTCACCAAACTATGCTTTCAAGTGCAGGGTGGGAGCTTGGGGGAAGTCGTAGAACACAGAGAAAGCTAGGAAATGGAAATCTCTGGCTTGGCATGAGGTTTATTTAGATGATTGGGCTGGAGTTTTTTGTTTTGCTTTTTTCCAACCTCGAGGAAATGAAAGGCTGGCACAGTTCACAGCTAGTGAGATAGACTGATTTCCTGATAGCCACAGAGTGCAGTACATCAAGGGGCACATGGAGGGACTGGTGACAAGGCCTCGCTATGTAGTTCAAGTTCATCTTGAACTGCTGTGTAGCCCAGGCTCGCCTTGAGCTCACAGTGAGTTAGGGGCAGATCTTGTCTTGTATACTTAATTAGCTTGGGTTCTCCCTATATAAATGCATATAAATCTGTAGAGGTACACACGTTAATATATCCAAATGTATATGTGGACATGTAGGAAGTGTGGTCGAAAAAATACAATGTTTCTTTCTTTTTTTATTTTTAATTCTTTTGGTACCAGGGATCGAACTCAGGACCTTGTCCTTGCAAGGCAGGTGCTTAAGCCACTGAGCTATCTCCGTGGCCTAATGTTTAAAAACAATTTTTTTTTTTTTAATTTGTGTATTTGGTACAAGGTCTCACTACACACTTGGACTTGTAGTGATCCTCCTATGTCAGCCTCCCAGTTCTGGTATTACCAGTGTACGCCACCATGCCTGGGTTTGATGGCCACCTTGGCAGGCCAGGGGTGAGAGTGATACGGCATGTGGTACCGGGGATCAAATTCAGGTCCTTGTGTTTCCCAGCAGGCATTTAGAGCACTGAGCTATCACCCTGGCCTAATGTTTAAATTTTAAAAAAAAAACTTTCTTGTAGCAAAAGACAATTTGCCATTAATCCCTTTTGAAATTCCCTCCTTTGCTTTGCACAGATTTATGATTCCACTTTCTTCTGCTGCTGCTGCTTCTGCTTCTGCTTCTTTTCTTCTTCTTCCAGAACCGGGGATTGAACTCAGGCCCTTACGCTTGCCAGGGAAGCGCTTATTCTACTGAGCCATCTCCCCAGCCCCGATTCCACTTTCTGAAGCAGTTCTGGGAGTCTTTTCTTCACAAGTGTATTTAGGCTGCGCTGTCATAACTGTCTCAGTGTCCTGATTCGATTCAAAACATTTACTTTTCATGTTTGTTTTGATTTTGGGGAAGGGTCAGAGGTCATAGCGTGCCAGGGCCAGTGGAAAGGCGGCTGAGAACCCGTTGTCCTGTTTTTACAAGCTGCCTTTCTATTGGCTGGAAAGGTGCTGAGGACCCACTGTCCTGTTTTTACAAGCTGCCTTTCTATTGGCTGGAAAGGTGCTGAGGACCCACTGTCCTGTTTTTTACAAGCTGCCTTTCTATTGGCTGGCACTTGGCAACAGCATTCACTATATTTCTAATCACAACACACAACAGCACTCATGAAAGAGACTTCCAGGGGCTGGTGAGATGGCTCAGTGGTCTAAAGCACCTACTTAGAACAAGCTAAGCCCCCTGATGGGCTGAGCTGGCCACACACACACACACAAAATAAATAAATAAACAAGAAAGAAAGAAAGAAAGAAAGAAAGAAAGAGACTTCCAGAAGTGCTTCAGAAATTTAAAAAATTTCAGCAGTCACCACACGGAAGGGATGGAACTGGTTCCTACAGCACGGAAACAGAGAACAGCCTTAACAGCTCGAGACAGAGGAACCTAGACTATAAAGTACAGGTTGGAGCCGAAGCCCACGTGCAGGAAAGGCTGACATCCCAGCTTCAAAGCAGACAGAGAAAGATTTCCTTCAATGCCTTAGGTGAGGCACACAGAATCACACTTCCTCTGTAGTCTCAGCTGCGACTATCTTTTTTTTTTTTGTTTTGTTTTTTGTAGAACCGGGGATTGAACTCAGGTCCTTGGGCTTGCCAGGCAAGTGCTTACTTAACTGAGCTATCTCCCCGGCCCACCCCCAGTCATGTGGGACCACATACTAGACACTTCACAGCCCGGCCAGAGGGACACATAAAACTGACCATCCTCTATGTCATTTTATCAGCAAGTGTGTAGTGTCACGGGCATTCAAGTATTTGTTGAATAAATCTCATATTTTTTTCTTTCTCTGTTTCCTTTCTTTCTTTCTGTTTGTTTGCTTGTTTTTGTTTTTTTTTTTTGTTTTTTTTTGTTTTTTGTTTTTTGTTCTTTAAAAAATAATAATGTAGGCTGGCACAACGGCTTGGATGAGGTGAGGCTGCCGAGCGCATGGCGGGCACGGCGCTGAAGAGGCCGATGGCCGAGTACAAACAATTAACACTGAACCCTCCAGAAGGAATTGTGGCAGGCCCCATGAATGAAGAGAACTTTTTTGAATGGGAGGCATTGATTATGGGCCCTGAAGACACCTGTTTTGAGTTTGGTGTTTTTCCTGCCATCCTGAGCAGGAAAAACTGGATTACTCACTGAGTCCTCCAAAGATGCGCTTCACCTGTGAGATGTCTCGCCCCAACATCTACCCCGATGGCAGAGTCTGCATCTCCATCCTCCATGCGTCAGGCGACGACCCCATGAAAGCAGTGCAGTATGAAAGCAGTGCCGAGAGGTGGAGCCCTGTGCAGAGCGTGGAGAAGATCCTGCTGTCCGTCCTTAGCATGTTAGCAGAGCCCAATGATGAGAGTGGCGCCAATGGAGATGCTTCTAAAATGTGGCAGGATGACCGTGAGCAGTTCTACAAGATTGCCAAGCAGATTGTACAGAAGTCCCTGGGGCTGTGAGGCTGTGCCTCCTTCCCCTCAGCACATGGGCACTCGACAGAGCCATTCCAGCCTGCTCCTACAGACCCTTGGCAGCAGTGCTGCCGTGCTGGCAACAGAACAGGCAGCTTACAGAACCACAGCCTCCTGTCTCTTATCTTTTCACCCAGACAGGCCTCTCTCCGGGACTGATGGCTCACTGTTTGCTGCAGCACACATGGGTCCTCCTGGGTGCCCAGATCAGCCATCTACCCTGTTGTCACTACCTCTCCTTCAGCAGCAGTGTGGCCACAGCTGCCCTCCCCTCCTGGGGCACAGGCCACTCTTGGGCAGACAGGACACCAGCGCAGCTCCTCATGACTTGTGGCCTTGGTAGAAGCAATGGGTAGAGCTGTGGGTTCCTTCTGGGTGCCTGGTCCCATGCGCCTGGGAGGTATCCACTTTCTCGCCTGGTACTTAGCAACAGGGCTTGTTCTCACAGGTGCTGCTGCATTCTCATCCTTAGATGTCCTTCTGAGAGATGCTTTGGGAATGCATCTGTGAGGAACAAGGATGTAGAACTCAAGATTACTGCTGGCCACAAAACCAATGGCTTTTCCTGATTGCATGTTATGGGTTTGCATTCAGGTCATTACTGGCATTCTGCTAGAGAACATGCTTGAGAAGAGCTTTAAAGTTCTAGTAATGTTTTCTGGATCCTGCAAACATTCTCTTTTTGGTCTAAAGCTGAGGAGCTTCAGCGTTCCGCCTTGTGCATTGCAGCTGCACCAGGAGGCTGGCTGAGGGTCCTGTGTGATCTGTGACTTGGATGTAGTCCAAGTGTCCCTATTAGTGGACAAGACTCAAGAGCTCAATATCTGCGGGAGGCTCATACAAGCAATAACAGACCTGTCTCATATAGGAGCAAATACCTGACCTATTCCAGGCAGATTTGATTTAAATAGGAGCTTCTATTTTTAAAATAAGAGGCAGCATGGGAGACATGCAGTAGGTTTCACTGCATATTGCCTTCTCCCTGTTGTTGATGTGGCCCGTGGACTGGGGCATTTTTGCCAGGGCCTCTCATCTCATAGTGTGAATAAGTCCTGGTCCAGGGTTCTGTGGGGCTTCTGTGGAACAAGGTTCTTCTTCTTGGATTCAGTGGAGACTTGCATCTGGGACAGTGGAAAAGGCGGGATGTAATGCCTAAATAGTATTTCCAGGTGTAAAGGAGATATAGTCCTGTCTGGGTGTGGGTAGGGCAGCCAATCCCAGACTAGCCACACTGGGACAGGATCACCTATAGGCTCTGTGGGAGGTGGAAGAGAGGCAATCTCTTTACAAAACAAAGTATTTTTATTCATTTGTATTTATTAAATGAAAAATCCCACGTTGTCCCTCTTCTGTGGTGGAATTTATTTAGTGTTATAAAATAAAGTTCTATATTCTCTTTCAAAAAAAAAAAATAATGTGCTGTGGCTCACTAAGAGTCCAAGCTGCATAGTGAGACCCTGTACAAAATATATAAATAAAATTTATAATAATAATGTGATGGCCCAGGGAGATAACTCAGTAGAATAAGCACTTGCCTGGCAAGCACAAGGGCCTGAGTTCAATCCCTGGTTCCACAAAAAAAACAAAAAAACAAAAAAACAAAAACCTTGGTAATATTGAAGCAGATTAGCTCATTGTATAGCTGAAGATGAGGCTCACAGACTACTCTGCCAGCGTCAGGCAGGCCGTGAGTTGCCTCTCAAGTGGCTGCACTGTGGCCTCCCATCTGCTTTCCCACCCATTACCTCAAGCATTTCTACAGTGGGGCTGCAGACAGGCAACAGAATCAAAAGCCACATGTGGGCCCGGTGTGCACACACCTGTGATCCCAGCACTAGCGAGGTCAAGGCAGGAGGATGGAAAATGGAGCACAGCCTGGGCAACTTTATAAGGCCCTGTCTCAAAAAATTTTTTTTCTAAATGCTAGAGATATAGCTCAGTGCACAGGCCCTGGGTTTAACCCCTAGGACCAAAACAGATGCAATCCACTCCTACAAAATGGCATACAAAATCTCACCAAATGTATCCATCCCCAGAGTACTACTGTGAAGCCATTACATGCCAGGCAAAGGGCGAAGGCAGAAGGGCACCAGGATGGTGCAAATCCAGGCTCTGCCCTAAGAGGCTGTCAGTTGCGGTTGAGCTCACTCTAAGCCTGGTGCTTGCTTTGGCCAACAGAGTGGACAGGACTGATACTGCGCTCCTTCTGAAGCCCGCTGTCTTCTCAGCATTACCGCTACTGTGCTGAGAAGCCTGAGATAGACTTTTTGTTGGTACTAGGAATCAAACCCAGGACCTTGCACTTGCCAGGCAGGCACTGTGCCACTGAGCTATACCCCCAGCCCAGACTTTTTTTTGAGACAGCAGCTCCCTATGTAGCTCACTCTGACCTTAAACTCACTATGAAGCCCAGGCTGGCCTCCAAGTCATCACAATCCTGCTTCAGCCTCCCGACTGCTGAGACGCAGGTGGTTCCTTTATGAAGGAATAGTCCTCCAAAAAACAGTGGGGACAAGGAATGTGGTAACCAGAGCGACCTGAGGATGCTCACACCCTAGGCCTCCTTGACCTGTCAACACACCACAGGGCGTGATAACATGAAGCGACGGGGGAGTGCGGTCTGCGTTACCCCAGGTAATAGCTTGACCCTCCAAGGACAGACTTCTGACTGGAGCACTGCATGAGTTGTGAGGGACACAGGGGAGAGGGGGCACACACCCAGGGCTTCCAGCAACAGGGTGGCCTTGGGCTCCTAAGGTACCTGGACACCAGGACCTTGTGGAACTGAAAGTGGCCCCAAACCTGAAAGAGCTTAGATGGATTCAGTGGAGCTTCCCGCAGGGCATGAAGAGCCCGTGTAGCACCAGCCATGGCCACAGGTCCAGGAGCTGGGGATGCCCAGGCCCTGAGCCTGAGCCCTGAGAGACATGGGATGGAGATGGGAGGAAGAAGCCCACGTGGGCCAGTTACACGAGGTCACCGCGCAGACCACGGGCTGCTGGGAAGAGCGAACGTGCAGTGCTCAGGGTAATGCTGGCATCAGTGGCCAACTGCCTGTCTTGGGGATGTGAATCCGTAGCACTCTATCCTGTACTCTGTGTGTGTGTGTGTGTGTGTGTGTGTGTGTGTGTGTGGTGGGGCACACTCAGGGCTGGCTCCATAATGAGTTTAACACTTGCCTGAATTGCATACGGAGATCCTATCTTAAAAAAAAAAAAAAAAAGACTCCTGGCAGGGAAATAAGTGAGTACCCTGAGGCATAGAAACAAGCAAAAAGGGCCAGGGATCTGGCTCTGTGGCACAAGCGCCTGCCTGGCAAGCACAAGGTCCTGGGGGTTCACTGCAGTACAAAAAAAAAAGAAAAAAAAAAAAGCAAAATTTTCTGGGGGAGTGTTCAGTGGATTCTCAGGGATTGAGACAGCGTTTGACTCTCCTTATTCCTTCCTACTTGATCTTTTCAGATGAGTCGATGCACTGCCCTGAGTGTTGCTTATGTGATTACAGCCGGGTGCAGTGGTGCACACTGAAGCACCAGCACTTCAGAGGCCGAGACAGGAGGATCACAGCCAGTTGGAGGCCAGCCCAAACTACACAGCAACACCATCTTTTTAAAAAATTTATTTATTTTCTATTACCATCTTTAAAAAAGTACCAACAATAACCAAAAACATGAATTTTAGATTTTTATACTTAGTGAGTAAGCCATATTTATGGTTATAGAATTTTTTAATTTTTTTGTTTTTTGAGACAGGGTCTCTGTGTGGCTCAGGCTGACCTTGAACTCTCAGCAGTCCTCCTGCCTCAGCCTTCTGAGTGCTGGGATTACAAGCGTGTGCCACCCACACCTGGCAAGAGTTTTTTTTAACTAATATTTTGATAAGTCCATTTCAATATGAAAGCTTTCTTTTGTATCCCTATGTATTTTGTTTTAAAACTTAAAAGCAGTATCTTAAGGAGTAGGTTGACAAACGACACCAGACAACCCAGAGTCTAGGCAACCAGTGGTGGCAAGTGGCTGCCGATCTCCCTGGGAACTCCAGCTCCTGATCTGACCCCAGCACATTTACCGCTCACTAGAAGCTGGCTCGGCCCAGAGGGGTCACTGAGCACCTGTGTGGCTGGAGTGCAGCCTCAGGGCCGCCCATCTCTTCCTCCTCCCTGCCCGCCTGTCGTCTGCAGTGGCTCACACAGTCCCAAGCTTCCTGGCTGTGGCCTGGGTTCCCTCGGGGAAAGCAGCCAGGGTGAGCAGCTGGTCTCCCTGAAGAAGTCCCTCCGGTTTCCTGAAAATGTCCTTGCCCCAACTCTAGCACTGTGCTTCTCTCCTCTTTCTTAAAAAACAGAAAAAAATAAAATCTTCACACACCATGCACAAGGTCTAAGCACTCAGAATGTAGTCATGCTGGGTTCCTTCAGAAAGGAAGTAGGCCAGGCATGATAGCACATGCCTATAATCCTAGCCCTGGGGAGGCTGAGGCAGGAGGGTCATTGCAAGTGAGCTCAAGGCCAGCATGAACTGCATTGAGACCCTGTCTCAAAAATACGAAAAAAAAAGTTGAGTTCTCTTTTTCTTTTTTTGGTGGTACCAGGGATTGAACTCAGGACCCTGCGCTTGCCAGGCAAGCGCTTATTCTACTGAGCTATCTTCCCGGGCCCAAAAAGCTGAGTTTTCATGAAGGTAAAATTCCAGCTTTTCTTTTCTTTTCAACATTTATTTATTGGGTGTGTGTGTGTGTGTGTGTGTGTGTGTGTGTGTGGCCAGCTCAGCCCACCCGCGGGCGGGGCTGGCTGGCATGTGGTGCTGGGGGATCGAACCGCAGTCCCTGTGCTTTGCCAAGCTTGTTCTAAGTAGGTGCTTTAGACCACTGAGCCATCTCTCCAGCCCCCAGTTTTTCTTTTCTTTTCTTGGAATGAACCCAGGGCCTTTGCATTGAGCTACATCCCCAGCCCTGTTAATTTTTTTTTTTTTTTTGCAGAACCGGGGATTGAACTCAGGCCCTGCGGCTTGCTAGGGAAGCGCTTATTC